TCAGCAGAGAACAATAATAGGAGGGCATCGTGTTCGAGCATGTCAATGGTGCTTCGGCCTTCAAATTCCTTCGACTTGGAAGTTTCGGGTATGCTTCTACTCTTTTCTCACTCGATTTCTAATGTCTGACTCTGGAAAGGATGATTCATTCAGATTGACATGAAAGCCCAACCACATTGCATTGCCAGAACTCGTGTTATATATTTGAAAAAGGTTGACCTCCTTACTTCTCTCATGTTACAATCCTTTTGCCGTTGAGCTCCCTTTCTTCTCGGTCCACAGAGACAAAATGTAATGACGTGTGGTGTGCCTATCGTCCTCTATAGATAAAAATAAATTATACGTTTAAATATATTTTTAGTCCCTTAAATTTATGATAAATTTATTTTTGATCATTCAAATTTAAAATTATTATTTTTAGTTTCTGTAATTTCAAAAATCTTATTTTAATCTTTATATTCAAATTTTGTTAAAAAATTTATCAAACATTATTATATAAAATCTACATATTGGTATTCCTGTTGCTAAAAATATTAATTAAATCTAGTTGAAATTATATAATTATCTTAATTAATTACTTTTAAATATTGTTATTGATGATCTAAGAGACTAAAATAATTTTTAAAAATTACAAGGATTAAAAATAAGAATTTTAAATTTGAGGGACCAAAAATAAATTTATCTAAAATTTAAGGGATTGAAAATATATTTAAGTCTAAATTATATTATGCACTGTATTTCGAAAATTTCAGTTCATTTGCTTAAACTGTTTACTCAAATGACCATTAAAAAAGGAATTAGGATTATGTTTTTATACCGTGAGAACGACTTTTATGAATTTCTTTATTGAGAATAAAGAGTTTTTTTTTAGTACAAAAATTTTTAAAGACCTTCTAAACTTGTATTCAAATATACTTTAAATTTCTAAACTTTTGAGTTTTGCTTTTGAAAATAGTAATGCTACACAATGAGACAAATTTTACTTAAAAATTGACAGAATCAATCTTAAAAGTTAAAATGGCATAGGACAACTCCAAACAAATAAAAAGTTATTAGTATAGTGATTGATTAAAGAATAAAAAACTAAAAATTTATTAACGACTGCTAAAAAAAAATAAATATTACTTACATTAGGATCGTAAAAAATACATAGAAGCTCATTAACTTGTTCTTAATTTACATTAGATAGCAAAACTTAGTATTTTGTAAAATAATAAAAGAAAACACGTACTTGAAGCAATACAGATGACAAATACAACTCAAGAACTGGACCCAATAAAATAAGAGAACCCAAAAATTGTTGTCTGTAACTCTTCCGTCCCCATTCTGACTTTGTTTGAGTAATATTTCGCTCTGGTTACAATCAAATACAATGATAGTTTATCGCGTATATCCATAAAACGTAGCCTTTCTCAAAACTGCCTTAACTATCATATCATACATGCTTTATTTACGTTATAAAGAGCATAGGGAGGTGAGATCCTGGTGGTTGATCTTTCCTACAAAACCTAAGTAGAGCATCCGTTTTACGCATTCGAAGAAGCTAAACACGTGACTGGAGATTTTTTACAGATTCACGCGGAGCTGTTACGTTTCTACAAACACGCCCGTGAGCGTATGTACAGTTATCTTATAATGTGCATATTTACAATTACAAAGAACATAGGATAAAAAGCATAAAGAGATATGTTCACTCTGTCGCTCAACAAAACTTTCCGAGAAAAGTCAAATTCCCATTTTCTTCGCAGGTATTCGGAATTCCGATTGCAATTGTTCATGCACCACCCCTCTTTTTGGGGGCACATCACGATGATTTTTGCAACATCTGCAAGCTTAAAAACCTCTAGAATTACGTCCCGCCAAGTACCGGTTTATCCGAAGTCAAATTACGATGAACTGGCCATGATAAATCTTGTTGGCTAATTTCCTTGCCTGAAAATTAAAAATAAACAAACATAGCCAAACCATCGTATTGAGATAGAAAAGTGAAATACAACCCCCCCCCCTCCCCCACCCCACCCAATTAGATGGAAGCAAACCTGGCTCCACATCTTCTGGAGTTCGAACAATTTCCCTTTCCCCTTGATGACTGCTGAAACATTCGGATTGAGAAGAACTAGTGAACTGGCAGTACGCTGAATGTAATTGTTCAAAAATCTGTTCTATTCTCCCACAACGCTCATCTTTCCGATCCATATCAATAAGAACCTACAACAAGCCCTCAATTAGTTTTAATGGGTATAATGAGAAACAACGGAGCGGAGGAGGAGGAATAGTGACAGCACCTGTGTTGCGTTGTTCTTGAATACTGGGAGAAATCGCTGCCTACAATATTGGTGAAATAGAACGGTGCAAATCAGCAGTGGAATGGTAAATCCAGATGCAACTGTTGAGCGTTTTAGTCCAAAAACCCCGAGTGCAATTACTTGAGCGAAGATCAATGAAACCACCGCTGTGTTGTGAGCAATGGGCCAGAACTGTCCCCCGCTATCATATTTTCTAATATATACATTGAGAATCTGAAAATGCCAGTGTTAAATAGAACCTTTTTTTTCTTACATGATAAGAAAATATTATTAAGCATCAAGAATTCCTTCCACGTCATAAAACATTATCTCATTTCCTTGCATGCATGAATAATGGTGCATCACTCTAATTTGACATCTACATCACTCCTTTTAATTTCTCTGCACTAGGTGGATTTAAGTGAAGAAACTGCTATTATACAATAATACCAAATAATTAAATTCTATATCCAGCCAAGGAATCAAGTCGTACATAATAAGTTTTTAATTTCCGAAGTTGCTAAGTTCCTGGTCTTGTCTTACGCTAATAATTCCTTCAGGTTATTATACAATTTCCCACCTTGTAGCCAGCCCGATTCAATGTACCATAATGCACTGATGCCCCTGCTACATGTAATTCCGTTTTAAAATGGACAGGGAAATAGTGGTCGCATCCACGAGATAAACCACAGGATGCCAGAATAGTTGCTCAAACTCGGAGTGACACATAGATATTGGGCTAAAACCAGGGTGAAATTGCATTTAACATTGTTAATTTCACTAGGGAAAAGGTGACACCAACTGTGGATTTATATAAATAATTCAACACCTTATCTCAATTTTACCCTAATAATTAATTGCATAAATATCGCATTATAAAATTGCTCGGAAACTGTCACCACGTGAAAATATGTAGTTTGAAACGGATTTCTAAGTCTATTAATGCTTAAAATAAAGCAGTGTAAAATAAATATAAAATAATTTATATACCCATGTAAGAGTAAATGCTTATGCTTATATATAAAAGAATTGAGCACAATTTAACTTCATGATGAACAAAATTAAGCTGACAAACACATGAAAGAAGTACTAACCTGATTTCGATAAACGAGGTAGGCAAGTACAAAGTAAAACAATAAGAAGGGCAATATTAGGGGTGCCAGAATAGAGCAGGTGAACCCAAGGAATCCAAATAGTAAGATCCTTGGAACTTCTGTATGGTATGGAAAAGTTAGGTTGCCATTCATTGTATCCTCCTTATACCCAAGTATGAATCTCTGGAACAAATTGCAGAAAAGGGGAAACAGTTGCATGATTTCAAATGCCAGACTAGCCCAACCAGATGATAAAACATATGTTGTGAAAAAGGTAGCCTGAATGCAAAAAGCCATAGTAAAGTGAATAACTGATCACGGAATAATTACCAATTCATCTGTTCTAAAAAACTGAAGAGAACAAAAACTTAGTTCAGTGATGCTCAAATCTTTGATGTAAATTTAAGTCCACACCAAGGATGCTTAATTTACAATATACATTTGTCATTAATGAATCTGGGTATATCACCTGCACTGGGACCGCCTTGGCAAGTTGGGCAGGTAGTTCAGTTATACTACTAAAGACTGCGAGTTGGCTGATAACAGATCCAGCAAAAACATTAACAAAAAACACATTCCAAATTGTGAAGTACAGAACTTTGGTGCATGCACTCAGCTTCCTTCCACTACGAGAAATGGATCCCTCTACTGTTGCAAATAGCATCATCATTGGTGGAACAGCATATAAAAATAAAACCAAAATCACACTTGGCAAGTAACCAGTCACCAGCTGAATCACAAATTTCCTGGAGAAAAAAAAAACTGGTTCAATTTACAATAAAGTGTATAACACTTCAAAATTTAAAATTACCAAGCTAACCTTCAACATCCATGCACGAATAATCATCATCAACAATTTATAATAATCCTTATTTTCTAAGAAAATGTAACTTACAGAAGAACAAACTTCTGACATTCCTTATGTGTAATTCTAGTGTTTGAAATGAGATATATATGGCACGGCACTTGATTTGGGATAAGATTACATACTTGATTAGGCATATATATGTGTAATTCTATTTGATTAAAGCAATTGGGTCTTTGAATTAGATTTCCTTAGCAGTTAGCAGATATGTTGAGAGATTGGGTAGCTTTGCTGTGTTCATTTTCTCTTTTTCCTTTGTTGTTTCATGTTTTGTTCTTATGCCTGGGAGGATCCTTCATCCTCCCATCTCTTTGAAATTTTTTTCTGTCTTCATGAATTATTCTTTTATCAGGGAAAAAAAAATCAAAATGTGTATCTGTAAAATTATAAAATCAATTTGGGTGAAGTAGAAGGACAAACAGTAAGCAACTTCAACTAGTATTTGAATAAACAGACACCATTTCTACAAACAAGCAGAGAAGATGGCAATAACTTACAAGCTTAATATAATGAGATAAAATCATGGAGAAATTACAAAGAATGAATTCTCAGTGAAAATATTTCAAGTTTAGGTAATACTAATAAATAATCAAGTCAATAGTGGTTATTGATTAACCGTCTTTCATCATAGTTAACTTGAGTTGATTGTTCCGAATGGAAACATATTTATCAAGAATTGCAGTTTTGTATTTCTTTATAGTTCTTAAAAGCCATTTTGAAGATCTGCTCAACTTGAACAAATTCTTTGATATCATCCATTGATAAGTGCATGTTGGAATTACAGGCTTAACACTGTAATTTGTAGAGTAAATAATGTTTAGATATCAACAAATGTGCAAAACTTAATTTGTGGTAGGCCTAGGATCGTATATGGGTTCTAATACAAAGCACCTTTGTTGCTCAGAGAAAGGGTGTTAAACGAAGTTCCACACTTAATTTATCATGCATAAGCATTTATTTCAAATTGTAATCCATATATATTGGGATAAACTTGTCCCTTGAGTAAGTGCAACATCTTACTTTTGAAGTGTCCCTGCCAGAAAAGGGAACATTTTTTCAAGCTTTTCCAGTTGAGTCAAGCCTTGGGCGAATGTGACAGGGATAAGGAATACAAGCACAAAGGTGATAGAAGCAGCAAATATAGATATCTTCCGGATCCAAAGTTGCCTGTATGGTATGCAAAGGTTGGACCAGTAAACATCCTGTGGTTCAGGAGCTAGGTCTGTGACCCATAACATAGGATTTGCTGTTTGGAGATTTTGGGCAACCGTAAGAGCAGCATACCGACTTTTAAAGAACACAAAAGCAGCTGCACATTCCTGTATTAAAGACACAAAAGTGTGTATTTTTTTTTATTAAATGAGCATAAATTTTTAACATCACATAATATGTGATTCTAGACCAAAAATAAACAAGAAAAGCAAAACCAATTCTTTGTTTACTTCTATAACTACAGTATTCCCAGTGACTGCTTAATTTGTTGGTTAATACACAAGTCATAAACATTACAAGTATTTTAATGTATCTGACCACCAGATCCAGCAGCACAAAGATAAGAGATATAGTCAGAGCCAAATAATAAACTTTAAATAGATTCACAAACCAGTGCAAAAAATATGCTAAACCTTCAAATATGTTGAAGAGGAATGTATCTAACACTAATATTAATTGAAATTTTATTGGAATCATAAATTTTGTTAAGTTGCACGTCTCATTTAATGACTCTCTCCTTATTTAGTTGTGGAATCCACTAAAATTTGTGATTTCTAATAAATTTCAGCCAATAGTAGAGAGATTAGAAAGAGT